GTAACCCTAGATTTTAATCCGAGAGGGGTAAAGTGAAATGGGGCTTTTCAGAGGCCAAAATGAAAAACCATCTCTGCTCCACACTCAGACCAGAGTGAGGAGACACAAAACACTTTCGCATTCTCATCTCAAATCGCATTTGCCAAGCCCGAACGCCAAAGTTCAAGCTGCTCTGGCAGACACAGTCCTGGTCAGACCCGTGTGCGTAATTCTGCAACCTACTGACCGAGGGGGATTCCTCCCCCTCCATCCCACCACCCCCTCCCAAAATCTGACAGCAGGGCGGGCACACAGTCACAGGTGCTGGAATCCCATTGGCTGTTTATTTCCCTCATAAATGCTTTTTATGCCTCTTTTTTTTTCATTTGCCTCACCCTTCACCTTTATCCAACCAGAAAAATAATTGCTGAGCTCACAAGCTAGTATGCTAGTATAACAGTCTGCTTCACTTTTTATGCATATTCACACCTGTTATGTTGATTGTTGCTGTGGGGACAACATTACTTTTACAGACAGTCCTGCTTCTACATACTCAATCACACATACACACACACACACACACAAGACCATGCAGCTACAATTTCTGATAATATTTGTAAGTTAGGCAGCCATTCCTTGTAAGAATTTTAACCGCCCATGGGTAATCAGTATGACCTATGAGGGCATGTTGGTATGAATGCATTGTAGTCAAAATATTCAACAGCTGAATAATAAATTGTCCCTGAACACAAAGGCATACATTTTCTGCAGTAGTGACCAGGATCCAAAATTCAGAAACTTAATAAGAGAGGATTCTACTCTACATATTTGACTTCTAGTTTACATAAAAACACCCTCATATTTCAAAGTGACACATGCACAGCTCATGAGCACCATCAAAACAAGCACCTGTGCAGCAAGGTGGCTGAAATCTTCTGGAGGGTGGGGTCCACCCTATCCATGCAAAGTGCGCATGGAAGGAAGCTATACTTAAAAGTTGCACAACGTGGCCACACTGTGTGCACTCAGACATGACTAATGTTGAGAAATTTGTGTCAAAA